GGTTGAAACTTTATTACTAAGCAAAAATCTCACATACGAAAATTTCGTTTCAGTGGCACTTTAAGTAAATCAGTAAAATTCTTCTGCAATATTCAAGTTAGTGATGACTTCAGTTACACACTTGCAACTGCAACATTGCAACACTTGCAGTACTTGCAGCAGCATGGAAAATAACAAGCTAGACTTCAAGGAAAATTATTACAAGGCTTTGACTTGTGGCCAATATAACGCGCGCTCTGATTGGCTAAGAGCGAGATCTGAGCGGTCATGATTATGCAGCCGTAATGCTAGGCTCGATTACCAGCCGCTGTTCGGGAAAGGAGCCCGCGCTCCTTCCCTCGAGAAAGCGGTGGAAATCGAGCCTACCCTAATGCCCACGGGCCGATTACGGATTATGCAAATTAGCAAGAGCCTGGGCACAAAAAGTCAAACAAGCACCGCGGCGGCTCTGAAAAAGTCGAGCGCATTAAAAAGATGAAAGCCGATCAAAAACAGTGAGATAAAGTAAATTTAATTCCAGTTAGCTAAAAGTTTAGTCGAAGAGCGAACTAGCTACGAGATTGTGCTGGAAAGGACAAGGTAAATAAACTAGAATACGTCTAAGAAACAAACAAATAAAATATTTCAAAAACTCACATCAAAAAGCTGTCAGTGACATGATAGCATTTCAACGAAATTTTTTCTTAATAAAATTTATATAGAAGTCGTTTTTGACTTACCAGGCGGTAACCTTGGCGGGCACTTGTGAAAAACAATCAAAGTTTGCCCAGTCTTATGTAAAGTTAAATGAGGGTCCCCAATAGGTTTGGCGGGATGCGGGATTTAGCTTTTTCTGGCCGTGATATTTGGGATTTGAGCTGAAAACAGGGGCGGGAAGCGGGAATTACAATTACGAGTGGGAGTGGGATTTCATGTTTTTATGGGGTTGGGATGCGGGATTCGCAAGGGGAACAGAGCGGGATATGCCATTTCAATTCCTACGTGACCTCATAAATTGTTATTGACCAGCGCAAAAACCACAAGCTGGCAGAAACGAACCTTTTGTGCGTATAGCTGTGTTGGGTTTCAAGTAATGAATAGCAACGGCTCTGTACCCTGTCAGGTTCTGTTAAACGTATCCATTATCGCTTGACTGCGTTAGTATCATGAGACTGTATGAGGTCTTTGAGTCCTATTGCGGTCATTTGTGTAACCTGCGTAGTTTGGCGGTTTTTAAGCAATTTGAGCGCGCTAAGAAAGCGGCGAAACCGCAATAACGAGCGCCAAAGCCGCGTTAAA